AGCAAATGCCCTTGATTTGATTTGGTGTGAATTATCCTAAAGAAGACAGTAATCCAATTTGTTTTGGCTGGCAATATGCCGTAATGAGAACATGCCTAACCACCCATCAATTCAAGGAACAGCTGTCAATATGAGTCTGATCAGAGGACTCCATTTACTTATTACCTACATTTATTTAAGCAAATCAAGGGTGACGAAATGTGAAATTAATGTTATGTTGATGGATTCCAACTGCAGCCTGAAGAAAGCATGTTAACCTCCTGAACAGTGCATGAAACAAAATGCATTTTTAGGAAAACACATTTACTGACCAAACTTAAGCCAAGTCTGGCTATATTCTTCATTCATGTTTGAAAATACAAAGCATCCTTGGTTGAAGCAATAAACAATTAACTTGTGTAACCTATATCAATGGGTATGGTAGTTTTGATGTGTTTTGTTTATGAATATAATACATACATAATCCTAGGTTTAATATTTTATTTCAATGCCATTGTATGTTATGCAGAATAAATTCTGTAATGTTACATCCACTGTGACATCAAATAAAATGTGAACTAGTTTGCATAGGTTAATATTTTGGGCAGCATGAATGTTGCTCTAGTCCACCCAGGCTTAAAGATTCACAGTGCAGAGGAAAAAACAGGAATTAAAGCATTTCTACTAAAATATATTTTAATAGCTGGTGTTAACTTTTTGCATAACAAAAGCCAAATTATGTTGATACATCATATGATCCAGTAATAATCCCCATCCTTTGAAAAAAACAAGTGTCTCCTTCATAACCGTATACTCCCAAAAAAACATACAGTTTTGCAAAGTAACTAGAACTCTACACACTTTTAAGCAAATATAAGCTAAATTGTGCAGCGGTTCATTTTTGCTTTTTATATCACACTGCAAAAACCAACATCTGAGAGAGTTTCCACACCATGCTAATCAACGTTAATACAGTCAGTGCTGCTTTCTGATGGTTTAGCAACTTGTAATATTGAACTAGATATGATTGTAATGCTACAGTATATAACTTATTTTCCTCCTAAAATAAAAAAGAATGTTTCAACAGCAATCGGATTACAACTTAGATACAATATGCAAACGCTATATATCAGACACAAAAGCATATGAAATTCCTTTGATTATACTGTAGTAGTGCAGGCAATAAAGAAAGAAATATAGCGCCACGTTTTCTTTCAGAGGGGTGATGAGATTTGAGATGTGGTTTCTATGGTATAAAGATTGGAGAATGATTGCTAAAGCACTGTAGAATGTTTTACCTTTAACTCACCAGCAGTTTGCTCTTGCCAGCACAAAGTACTGGAGTGGATGTAGTCATATAGAGATCTATGTTTAGAAAGCATCTTTAGCTTGTTTCTGTATGGTATTTAAATATTTACTAACTACATCTTATTCCATATTTCATACAGAATGTTATTCAAAACAGTTCAAATCTAGCAGATTTTATTCTTTATACCACATTCTGCCCAACACTTCTGTGTTTGTGATTGTTTTATAAGGAAAGGATGTGCCATCACTGTACAATAAAAACTAAAATTAACTTCTTGGCCAAGCACTAGAGGCCTTCCAAGTCCCAAAGGAACTTTTAAGAAGGACACACATATCAAGAATATAATCCATTAAAGTGATTCACTGTTGAGCCCTAACCTTGCTTAACTGGTGTGTGGTAAGTCAGTGTAGTCACGAGAACCGCATTTCAATATTAAATACTAATGTGCTATAATGGAACTTTACAACTGTAGTATCCATAATAGTAGCTTTGTTTAGAAAAAGATTCAATGAGGATGTAGGTATAATGAACAGCAAGATGCCTTTTATTACTATCTTATATACTGTATTATATTTATACTTGTGTTCTTGAAGAATAATAGCACATTAGAGTGCCCTTATTTTTGTAACACTTGAATGGGGATGAGTGAACTCCAAACTGAATTATGGAATTCGGAGATGATTGTGTCCAGAAGACAAAATTTTTCTCCCCAGTGAGCTGCTGTTCATGTGTGCAATGTATGGAGTAAGGGTGATACACTGTGGTAAAATAAAAGAATTAGGTTTTATCATCCTTGCTTGTCAGACAATTTAAAAGTGGAAAAAGCGGTATCTGGCATTTACTTCTCCCTACATTCCACAGTATATTAGCAGGGCCTCACAAACTCCTTGTAAGAATTGTACTTACAAATTGTGGTGTATGGGTCTATGGATTACAAGTTGTAGCTCTCATAAAACATTTTGATATCCAGGCCCTAATCACTTTGTATATTGGGTACCATTGCTAACAGTGCTCTATAATTAGAATTCATTTTCCTAGATATCAAAATCCATAAAACCATTCCAAATGAACAAAAATTACTAAAAGCATGCATTACAAAAAATTAACGATGCAAATGAATAATTTTAAACTGAGCACACTAATTATGCTGATATACCATTCTCAAGAGAAACAGGATTCACATACTCTTTTGTTTTCTTGACCTTTTTTATTTTGCAAATTGCTTTAGGCGCTTTGCCAGGCTATAGGATATTCAGATTCATAAAGGTAGTTTTATTTCCATTGTTTAACATATCATAGTCCTCTAACTTGATAAAATGCTTATTTCCTGATTTAGCTTGTTACCATACATAGTGCTAGATATCCCTCTCCCAAGCTGAGCAGAATGCTAGTGTGGTTATGGGGTTTGTTTGTCTGTTTTCAAAGACACTAAAAATGGCAACTTGATGCTATACGTATCTGCTCCCTATGTTTCTTCTGATTCATATCTGTTTAGCATACTGACAACTTATTTTTGCCGTTGTCAGCACTAAGGAGCTAGTACAAGACAACAGCAGCAAATGATATCCAGTTCTGCCTCAGACATCATCAGAAAAAATTTCCAACCGTTATAAATTGTAATTCTTCCCCCTGTTGCCTATGGCTGGTGATGATGACTGATATAGAAATATACGGCTTTGCAGATCACATTTAGGCTGAGCTTAAAGTGTCCGCAATTTAAATGAAGCTGTTTGACTTGCCAAGCTAGCAAATTTGACATGGAAAACACCAATAAAGAATAAGGGCCTGTTGCTGCAGCTGCTCCATGTACAAAACTCCCAAGTCTTCTGCAGAATTTTAAAACCACAGTGTAGTAACAGCAGTGGTGCCTAATACGGAAGATCCAGGGTTCACTTTTACAGAGTCATTTTTCTTGCTTCTAACCACTCTCTGAAGTTAATTGCTCCTGGGGAGCTTCACCCATGGAATTCTTTGTCTGACAAGAAAATATCCTTGTCCCACTTACTTTTCAATATTTATGGACTACTTTTTTTTAAAAAAACCCACAATCCTAGACATGTGCTGTTCTCTGTCTTGCAGCTTGGGATTTTCTCCCTTACTAACAATACAATGGAAGTGAAGAAGCTTGCTGCCTTTTAACTGTATGCAAAGCAGAACTGGCAGATGTCTTGCACTGGTGGGTTGCTTTTAACATAATGAATACTTACTGCCTTCCTTCGTTATTGTTACATGAAATAATGCAGGCAGGCTGACTTTTTGAAATCAGAAATAGAAAATTCTCTATAAACACAGCATAAATTTAGTTCAATTTTTAAAAACTAAAACATACAGGAAGGCCAGTGCAGCTTCAAACCTCTGGATGGCTACTAAATGGCTACCATCTTTAATTCAGATCTAAGTACAGAAAAAAACATTTTGTTCCTTACACACACACACACATACACATGCACCAACTCCTCCATGACACTTTACATGATTTTGTGCTCCCTCTGACTTAGGACCTGATCCTGTAAGAGAACGGCAAGGGAGGAATACAATGAGCAGGATCAGGGCCACGTTATATTGCGACTAGCTGTTGTGCCCCAATGATTAGGATCACACCTGGATCCTTCAGTCCTGACCACAAGCCAATGGACAACAGAAATAAAATACCTGGCACTTTGTGAGTAAACAAAATGATCAGGCCTGTAATGTTTATACTGTTTCCTACTAATGGCTTAGCTGATCCAAAGTTGAAGAGAATATAATCACTTTAGTTTTCCTTTTTCATCTTACTTTGAATGTAGTTTAAGGTGGAAGAGAAGTATTAAAAAGCCAAAATGGAATCTTTTGCATAAACAATTTGGGACAATAAATATTTCCATTTTTGGTACTGAATCCTGGAATCTAAGTACTTTTTATGCAGGAATAAAGAAGTTGGTTGGATCTAAGGATCAATCTTAGGAGCTAAAACATAGTCTATAACTTTCCTTTTGCTAACTGCCTCATAATATTCACCAGCTTTTCCTCTTTTTGGTTTTGGGGAGGAAGCTGGAATGAGGTGGGTAGGATTTTTGTTTGTTTAGTTTTTGCTTTGGTGCCAGCTATGAGGAAAAAAATAAACTCAATAGCAGTCAATGATGTTTGTCTTTCATTAATCAGTCGGTGAACATATAACCCACGTTTGGACAACCAAGTGATGTCACAACTAGAGCCAGTGTTTTGGAAGGAACTCAAGCAATAGGCCATTGAACTGTAATGTATCATAAAATCAGAGCTCCTCTCAACTTTTCTACACAGGTGCAGGACTCTTTTGCAGCAGGGGTGGGTACATGTTGGTTTTATCCCCAAAGCAGACATTAAGCAAGTCACTTGTGGTAAGCATGAAGGATGTAACTATAAGCTTCATGAGGCCACATAGTGCATGGCCCTAAGACTGGCTATTTTCAGCAGGATAGTTAAGGATAAAGGATGTAATGGAAATTGTTTGTACAGTGCTTTGAAGATGGACATTGCTATCTAAATGTTAAGTATTATTTAATGTATACAGTGTTGCTGTAGCCATGTCAGTCCCAGGATATTAGAGAGACCAGGTGGGTGAGGTAATATCTTTCATTGGACCAGCTTCTGTTTGTGAGACACACAAAACTTTTGAGCTTGAAGAAGAGCTCTGTGTAAGCTCAAAAGCTTGTCTCTCTCACCAACAGAAGTTGATCCAGTGAAACATATTACCGCACCCACCTGGTCTCTCAAGTATTATTTAAGGGAAACAGAAGAGGTGGCAATTTGGCTCTGCACGCTGAACAGTGCCAGTGGGAAATATGCTGTGAAAAAGACACAGATTTGCCAGGAATCAAGGCACAATCAAAACTGATGGATTGGGATGCAAGCAAAACTGACAGGCGCTAAGGGCACAGTCATGAAGGAGAGCCAATGTAAGACCCAGGAATCAGTGTGGTGTGGTGATGTGGGCAAGTGAGAGTTGGGAACTTTCACTGTCAAGAGACAGACTTTTTGTTTCTTATAAGGCTGCTGGGCAGTAGGATTTTTACCAGCACGTTATCTCCTGTTACTTAAAAGGCTGTATTATCCAGTCATCATTTTTATTGGGATGTTAAATGCTCTATGTTAAACAGCTTCAAAAATTATTAGAATGTGTTACTAAATTGAAAGTATTAGCCTCTTGTGATTTCAGAGTGACATAAGAAAAGAATCCATGTTATGGTTACATTTAAATGAGAATCTAAGAAAAAGACATTTCTCCTTTATAGCTAATGGATGGAAACCTTTACAGAATTGGCAGCACCGGGCTTCCACATATGTCTTTTGTTCTTACAAAGTATTATTATAAGCCATATTGTTTGGATATGTGTGTCAGATTGTGATTCTTACATCAGATTGTTATATTAGTGATAAAGTAATGAACATGTGGTCTTAAAAGTTTCTTCTGAGTATTTTGTTTCAAAAGGGTTAAGTTTTGAGTAAATCAGAATAAAGCTCAAAGGACTAGGGACAAAAATTAGTTAACATACTCAATGTAATTTGCTGGAAGCATTCCTGTTTTCCCAGTTCTCTGAACAGTACCATACATCCAGCCATCATCAATTGGTTGCACATTGATGATATAGTCCCCATCCCTGAAGGAAACTTCATCTTCATCTTGAGCACTGTAGTCATACATAGCTCTGTATGTTCTCTGTTGAAGGAAAAGAAACAGGGCCATGAAGAACCTACTACTGACAGACATTGCTTCTCTGTCTCATACATATACACACAGCACCGTCTTTAGTAAGCTCAAATATAGAATTCAAACCCACATGCAGAGAGAATGCAGTCTATACTATCATAGAGGTATGTGCTGAATATAACTGGGTGGACTATTTGTGCCAAATAATTTATTCAACAAATTCAGTCATGAAACTGATTTTTACGAACATATGCCTTACGTACACCATGCAAACACATTTCGCTCTGGAAATATTCACCACTACTGATGCCTTATGTATTCACTACCCATAGTTAATTATCCATGCTGCATGACTGGCCATCTAAACCACATGGTACTGTTTCTGTCCCTGCTTGGATGATCCCAAACAGGCTGTGTCTTCACTAAGAGAAAAGACGTGTTCTTAACTCAAGTTAGCTAACTCGACCTGCCACCTCACATGAACACTACAAACTGCTTCACCTTTACTACGATTCCACCTCAAGTTAGCTAACATGAGTTAAGAACACACCTTTTTGTTCCTAGCGAAGACAAGGCCTGCAAACATGTCAGGATGACTGGGTAAATATTTGTGGTGGGAACCAGAACTGGACACAGTATTCCAGCAGTGGTCAAACCAGTGTCAAATACAGAGTTAAAATAACCTTCCTATTCCTACTCGAGATTCCCTGGTTTATGCATGCAAGGATCATATTAGCTCTTTTGGCCACAGCATCACAATGGGAGCTCATGTTCAGCTGATTATCCACCATGACCCCCAAATCTTTTTCAGTTTCACTGCTTCCCAGGATAGAGTCCCCCTTTCCTTTAAATATGGCCTACATGTTTTGTTCCTCGATGTGTACATTTACATTTAGCTATATTAAAACGCATATTGTTTGTTTGCATCCACTTTACCGAGCGATCCAGATAGATCTGAATCAGTGACCTGTCCTCTTCCTTATTTCCCACTCCCCAAATTTTTGTTTCAGCTGCAAACTTTATCTATGATGATTTTATGTTTTTTTCCAGATTATTGATAAAAATGTTAAATAGCACAGGGCAAAAGAACGGATCTTTGAGGGACCCCATTGGAAACAGACTTGCTCAATGACAGTTCCCTGTTTACAGTTACATTTTGATACCAATCAATTAGCTGGCTTTTAATCCATTTAACGTGTGCCATGAGCAGAGACCTCATAAAGGAATCAATCATCTGACATGCATTTCAATTCTTTGTCATGTGATGCCTTTTAACCAGCTTGATAGCATCACAGTGCTGCAAAGTTGTAAAGACAAGCTGGTAACGCCACATTTAAAAAAAAATTATTAGGGCCCCTAATGCTGCTGAGAAACCCAAATTTATGGCTTTAAGACCTAATTAGGTGGTAAATGGCTGTCAGAAAAAAAATTCTGTAATAATCCAGTTGGCATTTATCTAATTATCGCTTCAGAGTGTAGTTTAAATGACTCAAATAAGGGATTTAAAAAATGCATTTAAGTGAATTATTCCTCTAATCAAGAGTAAGTTAAACAGGTACTGAAAGCACAGTAGGGCGTAAGAAAGAGGTTGCGTGCGGGGGGAGGAGGGGGTTGTAAAGTGAGTCAAACTTGACTCCTTTATCTGGTATCCCATCAAAGGCATGAATCTGTAGTCATTGTATACACAAAACACCCACTGATAGCAATGAGAGTTATCTGCATATAAGGGTGGAAGCACAGTTGTAATATTCCCATGTACCAGTTTGTCTGCTTGGCAGGCAGGCTGCCCAGCTCCCTGGTTAGTTGGCTGCTCGATTGTCTTGCTGGACAGGCAGCTGGGCAGAACACGGTTTGAAAATACCAAAATGTTTTTGCTGGGGGGAACGTTTTGGTGTTTCTGAAACAACATATAGCTGAATTTTAGTTCTGTGAAAATGTCTGAGTTTTTAGCATTTTGTCCTGATTTGGGATGAAAACACTTCTGAAAACTCAATTATTTTCATGGAACTAAAATTCCATTTTCTGGCCAGCTCTAATCTTTGTTAATGATTCAACATCCTGCAACTTCAATTAAGGTGGGAGAGCTAACAAATATACATCTTCCGAAACATCCTGTAGATCTGCCAGCAAAGAAAAGGGAAAACCAAAAGTGACATTTCTGATAGTCTTAAGCTAAAAACAATGGAGCTCTGAGCTATTTGGCCTCTAGTCACTACCACAATAAGAAATGTTAAAAATGTTAGTAATTTTAAAAAAATCTTAAGAAAAGAAATCAAAGAAGCAAACAAATATGCACAAGCCCAATTTTCAGAAATCTTTTGTAAGTCCTCATTGACATCCAATACCGTAGCTAGCTATACCAACTAAAAAACAAGGTTCACCTGCAAAAAGCACAAAGATGGCCTTGTTAGAACTATACATTCCCTCCAGCTTTAAATTTCTGTGTGTCTATTTGGTCAGACAGATTAAAAACAACAGCAAATGGAAACCTCATTACTTAGTTCATTGTGTGAAAAAGTGCTACCTCAACATTTTCTGCTTTCTAGAGTATATGAATAATGTGGATAATTTCATTGTTCTTTGGAGCACATATCTAAATTCACATCATTTAGTTTTTGAGATAAAAATCTCTTGCTACTTCTCTGCATCACCTAATCCTATGCATATTTTACCTGCAGTTAGGAACATGTGAAAAAGCCAAAAAAGTATTTCTTTAATTTGAAAATAAGTACAATATGAAGGAATCCAGAAGAATGATTATTTCCCAAGGTTCCCAATTCTGGATTGCAAAGGTTACCAGCGGATTTATATTTACAAGACATTTACCAGTAGCTAAAGAGGGGTGCACTGAAAGGAATGATTCTTTCAATTAAATACTCACCAAGCCTGCTGAATGTGGCTGTGAATGCATCGACCTCATAGATGACATACTGGTCTGGTGCATGTATCCATACCCTTGGGACTGACTTTGTTGATATGCCCCAGGAAGCACAGGGGCTGCACATTAAATAAATACAGAAGCATTACTACAAGAGTTAAAACAATATCCTTGTTGAGTCTGTGTGTGCAACTTCTCTTAGCAGTTGGTAGCAGCTGTAGATTGCTCTCCCGATTAGAAACCTGCAGCATAAATAGGGATTCATGTTCCCAAAGGTAGGTAACTCTAAATCAGTAGAGAAGAGTTTTAAGTGACAAAACAAGCCTTGTGTAGGTTGAATTCTACATAAATCTAACACAATCAGCAAAGAAATATTCATTAGCATCATGACTAACTGGAAGCACAACAGTGAGTAGGAAGGCTTGAAAGACCTCTAGAAACATGACCACACATGTGCACCAAAACTAGGGACATCACTAAGGCCAGGTCATTAAACACAGCTACATCGCCCAGAGTGTGAAAAGCACACACCCCTGAATTACACAGTTAAGCCAACCTGACCCCCCGTATAGACAGCACTAGGTTGATGGAAGAATTCTTCCATGGACCCAAGCTACCACCTCTCAGGGAGGAGGATTTACTACAGTGATGGGGAAACCGCTCTATCACAGCAGTGACTGTCTCCACTGAAGAGCTCCAGCAATGCAGCTGCAGCAGTGTCTCCATAGTGTATAAGTGTAGACACAGAACTCAAAATTTTGATGCTACATTGAGATACTAGATGATCATCATGGTCCCTTCTGACCTTAAAGTCTATGAGATACTAGAGAAAAATGATACCCTGGGGCACGACAGTTTGATTTTTGTTAATGAAAAAAAGACAAACCTAAAACTAAGTACTGAAACAAAGTTGAAATATTTTAGTAACACTGCTTAACCAATTTATTCCTAATTATAGTATATTTACTTTCTTTTATAGGCTAAAGACCTAGAAAGGCCTATTTCATCTAGGTTTATGTGACCATTTAGCTGTGGGTACTGAGCTGGGTTCCCTTAGTTTACACTGACTTCATTAACACCGTGGCCAAGCACAGAGATTAATTAAAACCTGGCAATTTCTTTCTGTCCCTTTCCTTTGTCCTCCTCTGTCCAACATTGCTCTTCCCTCCCACAGAGACACACACATTTTTTTGGTAGTGTGATTTTACCAACCACAGATGACAACACTATACTGTGGTTTATTGAGGAAAAGCTGCTGAAAGATCAAATAAAAACCGCATGGACCCTTGTGATGATTTGGGAATGTCTGTACAATTTATGAATTGTGATGTGAACTCAATCTGTGTCAGGCCAAAAACTCAGTCTTGTACATGCAGCTTTTTGCCTTCTCTGTTTCCTGTTTGCCTCCATGTTGGGTTGAAGTACCCACACAGAGAGATACAGGGCTGACACTAGTTGACTGAGTACTCAGCTACAGGAAATCTATTCACTCTAGACGAAAGACTGGTCACTACCCAGAAGAACTGGTTTAGCGGGGGGGGGGGGGGGGGGGGGGGGGGGGGGG